ATATACATATATATATATATATACATATATATATATATATATATAATTTTTGGATTAACTTTTACTTTTGCATTTTTCTTTTTTTTTTCTATGTCCCAAATTGTTTATTTTGAATATTACAAAAAATATTATAGTAATGTGGGGATGACGCTCACATTGCAATGACACTTTGGTACATTACCCCTTTATTCTAATATTGAAGCTCCATTACATGACACTAATCAAGCCCTTTTTGGAGGGTTTGATGTGTTGTCCACTTTATTCATGCATAAGACCTAATTAGCAAGCACCAAATCATTTAACGCATTTGAACATCGAAGGCATAGATGTTTAAAAAAGCATAATTTTAATAGTAGCATCAAATATCATTAGTAAGATCATCAACATCAACAACATATGTAGTTGTATTAGCATTAACAATATTAATAGCAGCATAAATGTCAATGCCAATTTTAAATGAATAAAATCATTTCAAAGTTGTATGAGGGAAGGAATTCTTTAATGGTACAGCTATTATAATCACATTTGATTAATGACTGCTTCAAATCTGCCATATAAAGGAAAAGTTGGCGTGATGGAGGCTCAAGTAGTTTTATCTGTTGGATAGTCTACAAATCTACTTTCATGATCATATCTTTAAGTGTCTCCTCTAACAGACCAAAAAGATAACACAACTAAAGTCATCATGTAATAAGTAGGTTTACATTTGTATAACATTGTCCCAAGCAATAAAGAAATAAATGCCCAAAGGGGATAAGAGGGAGATAAAAACTAATGACATGACTCCTAAGCTTCTAAGATTAGGTTCGCCATCTTATTCTCTAATGATAACATCCCTTATGGGTAGGCAAATCAAGAAATTTGGTGATGGAGGATATAAATAAGCTTATTCTATCCAAGAAGTCTTGGTTGTTTTCACTATATTTTAAGTTACCTTCAAGATATATGATTTAATCTTCGAGGTGAAAATCATTAACTTAAGACAAATTATTGTTTCTTTTATAAGTATACTTTCAAAGCTACAAGAGAAGAATAACCATACTGTACAAGTTCATTTTTTTTCGGTAAGATAAAATGGGACATGTTGGTGATGTTAACTCAACTAACATTTAGTATCCCAATTCAATCAACAAACATTAATTTTTTATTTAGTGTAACCCACAAAATAAATTCAAAAATTATTTATAGAGAGTGACACCCACATCAGCATATGTGTCTCCACTAGTGCTATCGATTACACCAACAAATATTCAATTAGCATGATTATTGATAAAACATATATATGATATGATTCGTAAGAAGGTTAAGCAAACCAAATCATCCAGGACATCTAGTTATCCAATGCAAAAAAATGTCACCTCTATCCAGTAGAATATAAGCAGAACCGATTTCTACTAGTTTTCCTTTCATCTAGATTTACTCAATTTAATGGTTAAAGGAATCTTAGGCAGCATCTCAATATCAAGCTATATGTTGCAAGATTGGAGGACTGATATCCTTCTATCATGAAATTTTGTGAGAAAACTCCTAAGGGTGACATTTTAAATGTATGATCACTTTTTGAATTATTTAGTCAAGATATTTATAGTACTAAAGATCTATTCATCATGATATTTTTTAAGGTGTGACTTCATGTCATAATTGGAGGCTTAGTTATGATCATTCAACATTCGCAAAATTCTTTTTTCAATTATACAATGAGATGGAGAATCTTCAGCATACAGTGTTGACCATAGTTCCAAGACTCAAAATACAGTTGAAAAGTTTTTTTTATTGTCAGTGGTCCCATTATGTCATGCTCAAAGGAGATCCACAGTAGACACTCCAGAAACCCTTTAATAAAACAATTGTGTATCTAACAATACTTCTTATAAGCCTAGAGGCTAAGACGACAAAATTAATTAATATACTTAATAAGCTCCTTATCTCTTAACTAGATTTCATTCATGATAGATTTATTAATTAATTATTTAAACATAATTATTTTTTTATAAATACTAGAATACTAAATAAACAATCTTAAGGATATTGGTTTTCAATTTATTTATGCTAAATAACACAAACATATAAAGATTCATTCCTATAAAGCAATTAATGTTTGATTAAAAAAAAAATACATGTACAACTCTAAAACTTGTTTTTTAAGACCCAATAATGTAGTCAATGCTAGGCTTGATCGAAATTTTAGTTAACATTTTAGATAATTAAAGGTTAATTTTTAGCTACTTCCAAAATTAAATGAATGTTTACCTAAAATAATCGTGAATATGTTTAATATATTCATTACATCATTGTTTTTAGCCTCTAGAAACTTCTAAATGATTTAGGCCCCTAGACCTAAAAAGCTAAAATAATATGTGCTCTAAAGTCTTAAAAATATATATGTGAAGGAAATCCTAAACTTCAAATTATTAATCCTTTACTCATTCCCTTAATTGTTTCAACACTTGATCATTTCTCTCACCCTCTTCTTTTGATGCTTTCACAACTCTCATTATATTGTTACTCGTAGCTCGCACTACTCTACACGATCTTGTTGCACTAATAAGCTCTAAATTTTTGGTGCTTCGCAATGCCCAAATTTTCATAGCCCTTGCAATTATCATCATCCTCAATGCTGGGAGCTTTATCCTAGTTCTCTTCATTATTTGCAGGCATGTCTTTGAACCTTATGATTTTATCACGTATCCCTAAAGTATGTTAGTTTATTTCTTATTTGGATGATATAAGAGAAGATGGTGAAAGGTTGGTGTAATATAGCAATTATGATTGATACACCGCCAACAAATTTCCATCAAACAACACGAATCTCAGTGTAATTTTTTTAATAAGAGACATTCAAACTTTGATTAAGAGTCATCCGGAGCTCCGATTTCAGCAAAATTATAGTCAAACTGGTCGGCTTGATGAGACGGACCTAATGATATAAAATTTAGTCTAATCTGAGTCAAATCAGGCTCAGATCAAGTCATTAAACCACTACTACAAGATTTCTGGAGGCATTTCAAAGGTCAAACGAATGTCAAATTTAGCAAGTTTATATTCGAATCGAGCGTCTCGAAAAGACAAATCCAACGAGCCTAAGATTGCTCAATTCTGACATTGTTAAGGCACTCAAATGTTCATCAAACGTCATCTGATCAAGGGAAGCTCTCCTGGCCGTCCCATCAAAATGGTTCATATTTCTGCATTAATTGCACTCAAAACACTATAAATAAAGTCTCACCACTCACATAAAGGAGATGAGGCTTAAGAGAGAACTTGAGACTTTGAGAAGGAGCTCAAGTCCGAGATTAGATCATCCTCGTCGCCGTCAATCGCCGTCGACCACCACTAACCGTCGACAACGACCGCCGACCACTGTTGAACGCCTCCGCCTTCGATCCCCGCTGACCTCTGTCAACTACCACCGACCGTCATCGGCTGTTGTTAGCCACCGCTCACCTCCATCAACCACCGTTTAGTAGATGTAATCAGTCAACGTTATAAGGTGAAAAACTTGTAACCCTTTTCCGCCTGTGGGATATCATCAACTTATAGTGAATTTTTACAACTGGGTCAGGCCCCGTGATTTTTCCCCTTTACGGGTTTTCCACGTAAAAACTTTTGGTGTTATTACAGCTTGATTCTTTTTCATCTGAGTATGTGTGTTGAATTTTCGTGCAATGCTAATACGATAATCTATTATTCTACCGCCGCGAATTTTCTAGCACGCATCAACTATGAATCCATTTGTATTCTGTTATTTATTGAAGTAAATTTTTATCACCTAATGAGTATTAGAAAGCGGGTTATTTAAAATGTTTTGCATATATAATCTTGAATAACTATAATATATACGTGAAAGGTTGATGCGACATAAGAAATTTGATAAATCCACTTGTACTTTTTTATTTATTGAAGTAAATTTTTAGCACCTAATTATTCCACCTAATGAGTATTAGGAATCAATTCTTGTAAATCGTTCTGTACATTGACCTAGAATAATAATATATAGCGAAAAGAATCATTATTTGATAGAGACCCAAATACTGATTCCTTATGTGCTAAACTCTATGGTGAGAAGTCTGCATCATGTGTTATTATTCGAGGATCACCGCGCCACTTGAATTCAAACCATTGACCTGAGGGGACTTACAAAGAACCCTGTCAGACATAGAGAACTCCACCGCGTACTCGGATCAGTTGGACGGGCATCTGCTTATCAGTTGTAAGTCCCCTCTGCCCTAGGGTTCAATATATATATATATGTGTGTGTGTGTGTGTGTGTTGACCTAATAATTGCTTTAATATAAAAATATTTAATTTTTATCACCGTTCACTCAGAGAAGATGCTCGTAAGCGGTAAAATCATCATTTAGTAAATTGTTATATTATTATTGATAATCCAATCACATATTCTTTAAGTTAAGTAATTAGGGTCCATTTTTTTCTTTAATATTATTATAATAGCTAAATACAATTAACTAGACTCGAGATCAACTGGATAATAATGAAGTAGTGAAATTGTGTGGTGCTTCCAAATCCTCCACTCAAGCTTTAATTCTCTACCATATAGGTTTTAGTAATTCATCCCACTGTTATAGAATCACAATATGATTTTCATTTTTAGACTGCACCGTGCATCCGGTGCCTCTTAAAAAGCTTCCATTATCTAATCATCTAATAAAATGTCCTAAACTTGTTCGGCTTAGGGCTCATTTCAAGGAGCTTCATTGTTCAACTAAGCTACTTTAAAAGTCACGTCCATGGAACATACATTATCCTCTGCGATAACTTTGGGAGATACTTCTTTATCAAACGAAAGAAAATTCACACATTGGTGTTCATTGCAACGGAACGGTGGAACGGAGTTTCGCTGACTTCTCAAATGAGACCTTAGGTGAAAGACTTGATATAATGTATTAGTTTTCATTATAGGTAGAGATACTCTTATTTCCTTATTATTAAGAAGAGATTTTCTTATTTCAGTTAAAGATGCGTGTGAAGCCAAAAATTTTTGTTAAATATGGAACTCGAATTCAAATATAAAGGGGAAAAAATGTCAAAATTCAGTTTGTCATTGGAGTTTGCTTAAGGTATATTTGCCGATATACATTTCTTTCATAAGAATGCCTATAAAGAAGAAATTATGTATTATAATTGTTTGCTTGCCTATCATAATTGATGCTCATGAGAATATCATCATTTGTGTTATCATATGATTGTTCTTGTCAATAAACACAATCAATTTATTAATGCTCATTAGAATTTAAATACTTATTTATTTAATAGCTCATTCAATTAAAATCTCAACCAATAGGCTAAATAAAGCTTATTTATTAACTCATAATTTATTTGTTAATTTATTGGTTAATATATTTACTGACCAAGAATATAGCTAATAAGTCAACCCTACTTCTCCTAAAAACTCTACAAAGAAAATAAAAGAAAAAAAATATCCTTTAAAGCCACTTCAACAAAAAGAGCAATCTCTTATAAAATATTATTAAAAATAACATACATGCACTTAAGACAAAAATATATATATAATTCCCGCCTAATAGGAGCTTGAAGAACGCCATCATATAGAAGATATGTTCTCGAGGATTACTGCATATTAAAAATAGGGTTGAGAAGAACTCCCTCCCACCTTCCAATAGTAGCTTCATGTGTCTAAACATTTATAAAGTGTATATATGTATTTATATTATCAAAACTTATGAAAATAATGCTACAATTTCAAAATTAAATATTAGCTCTCTTTAAAAAATCATGCTATTTTTTAAGATATTCATGCAATACCATTTATTTAGATCAATATTCTAACTTACTTCCATCTATGATCATTTATTACTTGATCTAAAATTGAAAAAACTAAACCAAATCAAACAAATTTAATTGATATAATTTGACTTCTTCCAATTTTTATTTTTAAAATATCTACATTTAATTTTCAATTATTTATTTAAATTAAATTTTCATTTAACCAAACAAACCCAAACAAAAAAATAAAAAATTCAAAATTAAAATGGAAAGTGTCATAAAATTAAATTAATATTACAAATATCAAATTAATAATTAATAAAATTTATCTATAACCAATCCATGCCTAAAAAGTAATTTATATTTGGAGATCATATTTCATTTCATTTTATGAAAGTTTAAAATGGAATAAAAAAATAAGGCTCATGAATTAGGAGTTAATATGAGCCTTATGCATGTGGAAAATAAATTAAAAAGCATCTCATCCTATATTTAAGGACATTTTGCAACAATATTTTTCAACAATTTTTTTTTTTTTTTTTTTTTGCATGGAACTCTTCTTTTCTCCTATTAAAGTTAAAAAAAAATGAAAAATTATTTAAATTTTAAGAATAAACAATGACTAATAATAAAAAATTTTCATTTACTCATTTAGAAACAAAACACACAATTCAATTCTAACTTCATATCTATTATCTAAATTTTAGATTTTATATTTTTATATCACCCAAATGTTTTATGTCACATAAAAATATTGTTATTTTAATTTATAACATTAATTTATAACACCCAAAATATGGATATTTACAAATTTAAGACCCTACTGAACTGATGCATTTACACGTGCCACTAGAAGGAGCCTGCTCGAATAGATTTAAGTTCAGATTAAAATAGCAATGTTGAGGAGTCGTGCTATAGCCGGCTTGAAATCCACTCAAATAAATTTAGTTAGGATCAAAATTAAATCTAGCAATTTGGCTCAAAATCAAAATGGGCGACTCAATTTTAAATTATTTGGTTCCATTCCAGCCCAAAACTGGCTCAATCTCGCTCAAAAATTAAAACAAGACAGCTCAAATTGAGTTATTTGGACCTGTTCCAGCTCGGATTATAAATTATAGAGCTTGAGTGAGCTTTAGTTGTTGCTCGTGTTCAGCTCCGTATTCAACCCATGTTCGAAATAGCTCGAAATATATGTTTTGGCTCGAATAAATTTGTTATGTCTCATGTTTGGCTCAAATTTAATTCAAGTTGCCTCTTCTGCTTCCAAAGTCACAACGATGTGCTCACAGAGGCAACCCATGGAGAAATTTTTGTGTACATAAGACGTACGCAGAGTTGCGTACATATTAGGTTATTCGGAGGATACAAGTAGGTTATATTTAGGTTATACTCCTCGTAACCCTGCATACGTCTTATGTACGCAAACGCAACTCTGCATACATCTTACGTACGCAAATATTTCTCCAAACCATGGAGGTCAAATGCTTAACTAGCAAATTGCAATGCTTTTCCGATTGCCTCTTGGAATAATTTTGAAAGTTAAAATACAACTTCTAATGCATTAATGGTGTATATTTATAAGAAGGAAAATTTAGGTACTACATGAATAACTGCATAGACATAAGTGATATATATATAATATTTACCACATAAAATTTAATGCCATACCTTCATTAAAATTTTGTTCTCATAGTTATCCCTTACAAAACAGGCTACAGTCGTCTCCCACTAAAATTACCCTACATTTATCGGTACAACATTTTAGCATCGGCACAATATGTTGAAATTCGGCTGATATTCAAATTTAGATCGGATTCGTCAGGAAATCAAATAATTGCATTTAAACGTTATGGAATCAAGATTTACTCGATTATCTACAACCTTGAAGATTATTATGAATAATTACATCATCTTAATTAGAAATTAAAATTTGCTATTATTTAGCATTGCCTCCTAAACAAATACTAAGAAAATTCAATATATGAGCACCTCGTCCAAGCAAAACAAACGACGTTAAATTTTGCTAGATATATTCATCGATCGGGCTTGATTGACCTAACTATTACAAAACATAATCTAGGGCAAATTTTAGTCCAATTCTTATCAAGCACCATCATCTTCCTGGAAAAACTTCATTTAGAACATTAAATTTTTCGAAGTAATTAAATCTGCTTGAAACTGAATACACGCATAAGTCTGAATAACGGAACACTGATAATTTGAACTTCAACGAACACCGCTTTCTTTATTTAATGCATCCACGACAATACAAACATCAGAAAACATTTTCAACAGATCACCGGACTCGATAGGACAACCATAGCAGACACGACAGCTTAACAAAAGATAAACAAAACCCTCATCCAAAACAAATAAAGCAAATAACAGCGGCGATTCGAGACTAACCAGCATCCTCTATCCAGAAATCTCAATAGACTTCACCTCAGGCTTCTTCACCTCCTCCTTAGGCACGACGACACTAAGCACGCCATTCTCCATTGACGCCTTAACGTGTTCCACCTTCGCGTTCTCCGGCAACCGGAATCGGCGGAGGAACTTACCGCTGCTGCGCTCGATTCGATGCCAGCGATCGTTCTTCTCTTCTTGCTCCTTCTTCCTCTCGCCGCTGATCTGAAGCACGCCGCCTTCCACGACCTCTACCTTAACCTCCTCCTTTTTGAGGCCGGGTAGATCAGCCTTGAAGATGTGAGCCTCCGGGGTCTCCTTCCAGTCGATACGTGTATTAGCGAAAGCAGATGCTTCGGTCGCATAATTGGATCCCGGAGCCGAGAGAGCGTTGTCGAAGAAGGAATTGATAGTCTCGAATGGGTTCCAGATGTCGAAGGAGAAGGGATCGTAAACGTTGCCCCGGCGAATGATCGACATGGATTGTGATTAAATTGCTCACTAATGTGAAGGAATTGTTGATTGAGAACTGAAAATTGAACTTGATCGACTTTGGTTGAGCTGAAAGGAAGGCGTGAAATGAGTATTTATAGAAGGGAATGGAAAGGGACTGCGCTTTCTCGAGTGTTCCTTCGTCTTCTGGATTTGGCGGGAAAGTGTCGTACTCAATGCAACTTTCCAGCTTCTTCCAGACGGGTCTCACGGGCCTTGTGACATTTTTGGGCTGTACTGTTTTTGTGACATCAAACACAAAGCCCATTTTGTATTGTTACGCTGTAGCTTTTTTTTTATTATTTTTTAATTTTTAATGAAATGTAAAATAAATGTTTTTTTTTAACAAAAAAAGTGGACATGGAATGAAATCAATGTTAAGGATGGCAAAAAATATAGCGTATAAAATAAATCAATTTGCAAATTCATCAAAATCGAATTAAAAGTTGAATTTTAAATTCATCAAAGCCTTTTGAAAAACTTAGTATTTTAAAGTCAATTATATACATAACAATTAAATTTTAACTATTTATGATATTAATATTCTCCTACCATCATTTAACTAAAAAACCCCAAATGTCTAAATTCTCAAAAAAATTCTAACCCTATTTTTCTATTTTTGTTAATATTTTGATCATGGCACGCCCAATGCACCATATGATATTAATATTCTCCTACCATCATTTAACTAATAATCCCCCAAATGTCTAAATTCTCGAAAAAATTCTAGCCCTATTTTTCTATTTTTGTAAATATTTTGATCATGGCACGCACAATGCACCGATTTGATAATTCAAAGAAATAGTATGAGTATTTGTTTCATAAATATGTATATTTTATGTGCAATGCATGTAATTCTCCCCATTTAATATTATATTACGGTCCAAGTTAATATGAAAAAAATAAAAAATTTATATTCAAATTTAAAAACGTTAAATGTGAATAAAAATATTTGTTCATATACACTGAAATTAGAGCTGCCAAAAAAGCTCGTTGTTCACAAACAGCTCATGTTCGGCTCATTAAGTAGCTCTTGTTCAGCTCGTTCGTTAAGTACACGTACCGAACACGAATAATTTTTTTAAGTTCAAATTCTAAACGAGTCGAACACGATTATCTCTTTGTTCGGCTTGTTTAGCACAAAATAGAATAAAAACATATAATTATTTATATAACAATGTAATATGTATATTAATTATATAATACTATATTATATATATTTATATCTAATTTTTTGTCTGGTAATGTAATTATGTATCTTCATTTGGATAGATTTTGTTCAGATTCAAATCCAACACTCTACATCTATTTTTTTCAATTAATTTTAAGGAGCTAATTTCGAGCCGAACACAAACAAGAATATTTAAATCGAGCCAAACACGAACACAGTTCGCTAGCCAATTTTTTGAACATTAGCCGATTTTGAACACGAGCCAAGTCTGAGGACGCTCAAGCCCAACACGTTTACAGCCCCAACTGAAACACAAAAATAAAAATGATACATTTATATTTAATAACGTTTGAATATGAAATACTTTTATTAGTTCTTCATGTCTAACTTTCCGTATCAATCCAAATGTACAATTTTATATGTTACCCTTTTAAAGCATGATTTCAAAATTTACAAATTCATTGTTTCAAATTTCATACTTGGACATTGCTTTTTTCTCTCAAGCAGCAATGAACCAAACTGAACTAATTAAATTGATCCAATTCAGTTTCAAAAATAAATTTCAATATTTAATCTTTAAAACCACACCCAATCACTTTTTTGGCTATCGGTTCAGTTCTAATTTACATTTAAATTTTGAAATTAAATGGTTGATATCATGAGACATGAAATTAAACCAATGATCAAATCGAACTAAATTTCGGTTTGTGCGGTTCAGTTTTATCAGAATTTTGAATGGTTCGATTCTTCGACTTCAAATTTCAATTGCAATCAGTTTGAACAGGTGACCAATAAGAATTGCATCAAATTTTATAAATGCAATATAAATATTTATACTCTAACCAGGAAATCTGCAACTAAAGTCGAGTTAAAAGATGCCGCATACAAATAGTGTTCCAGTTTCATCGAGTAAATCCAGATGGTGTTCAACCATGGTTAACTCATTGCAGTATTGAAGCCATGTGTGGCTGGATTGTTGAACGGTAGAATCAGAGATAGTTTAGTCATTGCAGATTGTTTTAACCAGAGTTAACTTCATTGTTTACCGGCTGTTATGTGAGTCAATGTGTTGAGGAATTCCAGGTAGTGTTACTTCTGCTCGTCCAAAATGCGTTTCCGGAAATCATTTACCATTAGGGGAAGGCCTTCCCTGAGTGAGATCTTGGGCTCCCAGTTCAGAAACTCCATTGCCTTACTGATGTCTGGTTTCCTCATGTGGGGATCATCTGCTGTGTTGGGCTTGAAATCAATGGTTGCACTTGGATCAATTGTCTCTTTTACCACCTATACACATAATAATTTTTTTTTTTAAATAAAAGGTTAGGGAATTTACATACAAACCAACCAATTCCTATGTATTTACATATCTAACACCTCAACTTTGCTTATTACATTTATGTCACATAAAAAATACTAATATTTTAACTTTTGGAAAATTGAAATACACCTTTTCATGCATAGGTAAGGTGACATGTATGTAAAATGGAAGTTTTGGAGTTAGATATGCAAATACAAAAAAATTGAGACGTATGTATGTCAATTTTCCAAAAAAAATTTTTTTATTAAACTAAAAGTCGTTAATGAACCTCAGCTAGCTCCAACATTGTGAATTCCCCAGGATTTCCCAGGTTGAAAGGTCCAATGTGCTCGCTTTCCATTAGTGTTACCAGTCCATCAACCTAGCAATGTTCCAAATGAAAATTAGAAGCATTCAAATAGTAAATTGCAATGTCATAAATTCCATCAAAGCCGAGTCAACCATGTAAAAGTTGTAATAACAGAAGACGAGTTTCTAGCAATTCTGGTTTTGAATCTTTTCCCCAAATACAAAGCACTGCGACTGATTCAACACTTCTTTTTGTAAATTAAAGCAAAAAAGATACAAGGATTTGTAGAAGATATTGGCATATCAAGTAATGGTGGCAAAATAGGTGGGACTCCTAATACAAGAACCTGATCCTGTGTAATTTAATATCCCCAGAATGTGGGGTATTGTTTTCTTATGTTTCCTTATTGTATCCTTGATTCTGTATATTTATAGGCCATGCATATTCCATCAATAATAACAACGACAACAACAACAATCCTTTATCCCACTAAGTGGTGCCAACTACATGAATCCTTTCTCCATAGTGTCTTATTGAGTGTCTTATTTTCAAAGGCCACACATATTACATCAAAAAAATTAAAAAAAATTTCCTATCAACATGGTATTGGAGAAGGAAAAAGATAGCAACCATCCCGATCCCACACCATAGCCTTTGTTCCAGATGCTCCTTTCTCCTTTATATTTTCATTTATCATTGTTCCCTCTCCACGCAACTATTGTTGTGCTCATACACTTCAATCCTACACAATCCACCCACACTCTAGCCCAGTCATCAACCTTGTTCAATCACTTACAAAAGTGAACTTTCTTGCTCGCTTGCTCACACTTACCACACTCACTGCCAAAACCAAATTGCATGCACTAGACAACGTCATGTTCACTTGCATGACCCGCCCACTTGCTCTTGCTTGTTGCATGTGCTTCCCACCTACTCACCCACAAATAATAGGATTTGAAGCTGTTTGTGGTCCTCCACCCTCTTGCTTGTCCATTTCTAGATTCACCTACACTCATGCCCAACCTGCATTCGTTGCTCTAAGTTCACTAGCACCTCGCCTACATCATTGGCATCGCCTATTGCCCTTCTGACCTTCTTCTCCAAATGTTTCTTAAATGATGATCTAGCCTCTTCATTTCTGGTTAGACTATCTTAGATATGGTATCATGACCCCTTTGTCTACGTACAGAGAAAACCTCTTCCATTAATGCATCTATAAATTCAATTGTGTTGATTGCCTCGTGATTGAGAGCCTTTCAACATTTTGTTGGTTTCCATGAGAAACAATCCCATCTTAATGCTTCTACAATTCATGATAATAACATTAAATCTCCAAACTGGAAAACAAGTGACTATCTTGTTCTTATTTAGCTGCTAAATAGTCTCAAACCTTAAGTTTTCTCCAAAATGATATTTCATGAGAATGTCAAGGCTTATGAGAGATTTTCTCTGTTCCATTTTCTTTTAGAAAAGCAAAATCTTAAATGTTTACAACTTATAATATAATTTGATTTATCTGCAACTGAAGGATTTATCCCTTCAAAATTACTGAAGCATCCTATGGGATATGTGGATGAGTTACTTCACTAAATCATTATAGTCCTTATCCGCTGATCATAAGATCTAGAAACAAAAAAAAGAACTCCTGGTTGTTAAATTTCTCTCTAGCAATCATTAATCCCTTTAACATGTGTATTCACGGGCTCTCAAGTGATGGCCAATTCCACTATTCCCACTTTTGCAACCGCTTGCTCACAAGTTCTTCGTGCCCACAAAAAATCATCTCCTTCCCGACCATCTTATAATCGTATTACTCATATATTGGGCATCAGGGCAACCGTAACGATCTAGGCTGTAGAGGTCATACTGAAAATGAATATGCTAGTGAAGTCATTTCCTCATTTTCATTGTGGTCGCACCAATCCTCATTTGGAGCAATGTTGGGCCAAATTTATGTATCCCCCTAATGCTCAGCATACCTCAGGAAATATAGTTGAGTTGATGCTTAGTCAAGAGGAATATGATTGCTTAATTTAGACTGTTTTGGCGTTAACATCTATTTTTATGATGATCCACCTCTAGATCTATTGCCATCATGTCAACCAAATTTTATAATCAAGTTCTTTCTCATATGTGAATGGTAAACACAAACTTTTTTCTCTCCCATGACCTTCCACTACCCTGTGATTTGGGTTGCCGGGTCAACCTCTAGTCTCTAGGAAAGGTGTTGGGACGCCAACTCCTTACCTCTGATGTTTTATATGTCTCCATTTCATGTATATTTATTATCTATTCAAAATCTTACGAAGTCCTGCAATTGCTCTTCAAGTTTCTATTTTCTCATTGTGTCTTTCATGACCTCAACTCAAAGAAGATAAATGGTAGAGGTGGAGAAGGTGTAGTCTACCACCATATAATTGATATTCCTCATACCATTTCTTGCACCATTATTCATTTTCCACCGGCCCTATTAACTAGGTCATGCTCACCTCAACATATTTCAAATTTGTTTCTAGTTCCTCTTTTATATTTAGAACTCAACTAAACAGAATGTGAGATCTGTACATAACACTTTCCCTTATATCCCATATCATTAGTCATTGTTCACATTCTTTTGAGTAAAATCACTCGCACATTTGGGGTACAAGCCAGATCCTTACTCATACCAGGTTCTATTGTTTTATAACCTTTTTTAAAGAATTTTGTGGGTTATATAGTTCACTTAAATCACGCTTTGGCCCTTCCTGTATCAATCTTTTTCTAAAGAAAAAAAGTTTAGTTATCTCCTTTCGTCAAAACCTTATACATAGTTAATACTTTAGAATTCATGCAACCTCAATTTCACATTTATGTTTTGTCAATAATAATATTCATCAGAACTCCTGCGCTTATAACCCTCAACATAATTGAGTGGGTTAAACACAAAAATTCACACCTTTCTGATGTACTAGGACATTGTTGTTAACATGAATGTTCCATGGCAAATGAAGACATTGACCTCGATATAAACCCCACGATTTAATAGTAGCGAATATAACGTCAGAAAAAAATATTGAACACAGCACCACATGAGTAACTGAAATTATCTTAACTACTATTAAAGTCGCTCAAATGACATCGGTTCACTAAACGAGTTTTGCCAACATGTCCAAACTATCAAAAATGCCTGCAATAGACATTTAAATTGTTAGGATTCGCATACAAATACAAAGACACACAAACTGAGCCCAAATCACTCTGATAGTCATGACGTGGATCAAATGATGTATGTTCACAAGATGAAGCCCATCAAAATGTTTGAGGCATCAAAATTACGTAGGGAGCACACCCATGTTGTCGAGTCCCAACAAAAATATGAAATGATAATTTAACTTTAGCATGAGGCCGACGATACAATATTTGAAAAAAGCAAATAACAAACTCATGCTAGAAAATAAAATTAATATATACATATTTTTTTTTGTTTATTAACTAATTAAATTAAGTTAAGGTTTAGGTAAATTAAATGAAATATATCATATATTTAAATACATATGTATTTCCCAATTGAAACAAATAATATAATAAACTCTTTGTTATGCCAATACTCATACCATCAAAATCTCGGATTTCATAATTGTTGTCGCTAGGGTTATAAATGAAACAATGTACTCGATGAACTCGAACTCGACTCGATTAAGACTAGATCAAGATCGTTCAAATCTGTAAATAAACAAGCTTGAAGAATTTTTTAAAACTCAAATCTTAAATAAACTAAACATGAACATAATTGAACTTGTTCATTTATATTCACGAACAAACTCATTTGTTATTCAACAAGCAACTTGATAAATACTCGATATGAAGCTCAAATATAGCCCGTATCATATATGATATATTATTTAAATAAAATTTGATTTGCTAGAATTTATTGAATCAGAGATTTAAAAAACATATATTATTATATCAATAATATTTTTATAATAATTCTTAATTATATATTTATTTTATTATTAATTATTAACTATTTAAAAATTGACATAATGGAATTCTAAAAGTGAACATCACTTTTGTTCATTTTTTTTACTATGCTTGATCGGAATGCCTTCGATTTTTCTCAATTATTTTAACAATTAATGAATAATTTCACATTATGAGTTTCATTTTTATTTTTCTTAATTATTTCAACAATTGATGAATAATTTCACATTAGGAGTTACTTTATAAAACTGGTTTTTTTTTTTACTCGTTTCAATATTTTTTTCTCTATATTAGAATTCATTCTTATAATAATACATCTATTATAAACATTACATAACAATATGTGAGTTAGTTTATTTGTTTATATCCTATACAAGTTATATGATTTTTTTTATTGTCCATTTATATTGTCCATTTATTTAGATTTGTAAAATTTATATTTTTAATATGAAAATCTAGATACTCATTTGAATTTTTGCTTTTTTTTATAGCTCGTTTAAATACTTGTTCACTTATCATAAACAAATCAAATACAAATCAAGTTCAAACATTGAAAATTTTAAACAATTCAAACTTGAACAATATTTGAAAGCTCGACAAAAGCTCAAGCAAAATATGAACAACTTATAATTGTATCAAGTCAAGTTCAAACTATCAGATACTCGGCTCGGCTCGATTATAGCCCTACTTATCCGATCTCTTATCTGCCCTACTAAAAATAGATAAATAACCTAAGAAACTAATCACTAGCTTTTTGCCAATTTCAAACAGAACCCCATCCTCCCATCATTAAAACAGACTCATCTTTGTCTCCCGCGGAATGCCCTTCATATGCATTCAAATTTTGAACCCCTTTGCCCATTGCTCCCCTTAGCACAGTGTCACGCAAGTACTTTCTTCCTTCTGATAAAAAATGAGAGAAAAATCTTTAAGTCGGTGTATTATTTGCAATCTAATCTCCCTTCTGAAAACTTGACCTAGAACAATACAAAGATCTCAATGTGAGTCTTCGTTGCAAAATTTTGGAGCCAACGACAACAGAAGTTCTAATTATCTATTATAACTTCAATTGAATCCCTTCACTTCTAGAACACATGCATGCCATCTCCATT